TAGAAATGGGGATATTTATACCCATATGTAGATGAGGTGCCGGTATGATGTGGTTAGGAGTCAGGAACCACACCTTTTGTGTATGCGGGTGTGTGGGGGTGTGTGTATATATGGACGTCCTGTCAAGAGCGACCGCCGCAAGGACAGCTGGCAAGAAGCAGAGGCAACATGACACAGCATACTAACCGCATATGTGCCAAAGATACATACATACATATATCCTATAGATAATACACCCGCACAAACACAAATGGCAAATATGTGTGCTTTGCGACTTTTAACAGCAGGTCCTTCTGCTTGCTTTTCGTTTTCGCCCGTCAATATTTTATAACGCCATGTGCCAAATTATGGTCTCCGCCACCAGAATCCCAAAAGCTATAGCCGATATATGTACACATAAACATATGTATGTTTTGTATGCTGACAAAAATGTATTTACTTTGCCATTTGTTTGATTATCCCGTCGATGTCGAAATTTATTTCGCACGGAGTGTGAGATGATAAAGGAACATTTATGCGCTTAATTAAATGCCATGTGTAATGTAATTGAATCTAGGGGGCAAAATTAAGTGCTTTAATTAATTTGCCTCTGACTTATAATTTATACATACCGAACATTGCTCATACGCCCCGTTGTGCCGTCTCTCTTGCGCTTTCGAGAGTTTTAATTGCACATTTTTCAATTAAAAACTATGCGAGAGGGCGAATCGAGTCCGAGTTCGGGGCGTGAGGCTGTAGATTTGTTTATACGATTGCATTGTTTAATTGAATTTACTGTAACAAATGAGAGTGCAAAGGCAGCGGCGAAAAACCAAACCAAACAAACAACATCAAAAGTTCACAAGTGCAATTAATTTCGGGTTGTGTGTGTGTGTGTTTATTTTTATTTTTATTTTATTTCGCACGGAGAAGAGCTCAATTTCAGTTGCTGCTTTTTTGCTTGCTTGCTTCTGCTTTCAGCTTTTATTCTCAATTAATTTGGCCAACTATAAATCAGCCGAAAACGGTGACAATTTAAACGATTTATTCTGTTTGTGTGTTTTTATTTTTGTTTTCTTTAATATATATATTTTTTTGGAACAATTGTGATATGCAAGTTGAAAGGAAAGCAAAATAAATGGCAAACTGTAAACATTGTGAAATGTTAAGTGTAAACTTTTTTTGTAATAAGAAAAAAAAAGAAAGGGGTTCTTTAAATATTAAGCGAGTTGTCCTAATATATTAATGTTTTTTAATGGAAATATAAAGAGCTTACTATCCATTCTTTCTATATACCATAAAAATAATTATTTCCCCACTTTAATAGCTTTTTGACTATTTAAAATTCGCTTTCTCAACAAATTGCATGTTTCTTTGAAGAAAATTCAAGTCCTTGTGCCTTAAACTTTGCCACAAAAGCCAAGGATGCCTCGATTCCACTTTGATTCAAGGAAAGGAGCTTCCAGGAGAGCTCGTCGAAATATATAAATCGCTCTTAAAGTTGCCACTGGCAACTTTTCTCGTTCATTTTCCTCTGGCAAAAGTTTGTTTTTGTTAGAATAGTTTCGTTTCCGTTTGTGTCTATCAATTCGGCTTCTGTTGTTTCATCTGTCTGCTCCTTTGCATTACATATTCCTCGCCCGCTGGAGCCAGGATCTGCACTTCCTGCTCCTGCATCACCAGACAGCTCCTGCTTTTGCCATTTTATGGCAGTTTTCGAACCGGAAATGTTAAGTACGGAAATCATGCGCGCTTGACTATGACAATGACATCGTAATATATTTTTCTGCTCAACTCTGGCTGCCTTTGTGCATTTCCCTGTTATCTTTTTGCTGTTTTTCCTCCATTGTGCATAGGAAAAGTCAGCAATTATAAGACTTGTGTTCAGTTATTAAATTATTTATTTATTTTTTGGTTAAGCTTGCTGACGTACAACTTTTCCGGAAGCCATATTTTCGCAGTTGCTGCAAGTAAAATAAATGAAGTCATTTTCTATGAGCTTTAATTTCCAAAGAAGCTAGGAGTATTAACGGAGAATTAACGACATTAAATTCTAGCAAAATAATGTGCTTTCTATTCAGCTGACAGGAAGTATAATTTTCGGAATTTTCACAGCCAACGGCAGGCAAGGCATGGCAGTTCTTTCATCAGAAAAGCCCTCTCACAACTTGGCCAAGAGCCTCTGCTATTGGCACTTTAATGGATACACATGAAAGGAGGCAAAGTTGTGGGTGCAATGAGTGTGAGTTGGCCAAGTGCGAGCAGCTGTTGCAGGGAAGTGCGGTTCCAAGATGTTGCTTTTGTGTAGTTTGTGGCTTTTCCCAGCGACATGAAAATGGCGTCAGCTGCAACGCAGCAGCAGCAGCAGCAGCAAACTTCCTTTAGCCGAGGCTCAAACTGAAGCCAAATAATCGGAATTGAGATTTTGTGAAATGAATGCTGATTGCACAGACCCTAATAAGCCTTGCGTGAGCCTTTAATTTGAGTTATTTCAACGAGACATGTCTCTTCCACTCTTCCACACCCAGTTTCTATCCGACTCTCTGCGGCTTAAGTGTTGACTTTAAAAAACTTAAGTTCGGTCGGGCGAACATGGCGGATACGTAATTCAGTTACACACATCGCCTCCTTGGCGAAACACACATCTTGTTTATTTTAATATTATACAATCCCCGCCTCTGTCTTGTCTAGACTTTCGAGTGCCAGCCTCTCCTTTTTGCCGCCCTCGGAGAAGAGTGTAAAAGAAAGGGCGTGGCGGAATCGCGTTGTATCTCTCGGATGTGCGATGTAAAAATCTCATTTTCGAGGCTCAATTCCAGCGGGGGCGGGAGTCCTGCTCAAATTGCAACCTGAATCGCTGCAATTCTTTACAGATTCCATCAGGTGCGGCAGGTGGAGCTGACTGCCTTATGTCACGTAGTTGATTGAGATTCTATTGCCCCGACATTGATTATTGATGCACCATGGAAGAGGCAGGACCCCGTTGGATCTACGCCAAGTTTACTGTTTCTTTAAAGGTAACGCCTCAATAAATGTGGGCTAGGGAAGTAAATTCGGTTAGGAAATGTGTGAGAAATAGTAAAAGAGCTGTTTTTAAGTTTTCTATGACTAAATAGTGAGTAAAACTCTTGTTTTTGCTAAAGAATTTTCTTTCAAGAGAAACTCTTTTCGAGTTTCCTCAAAAAATATAATTTTGTCAACATTATTCCTAAACAAACTTTATTGCAACCTCAACTTTTATCTTATAACAAACACCAATTAGTTTTCCCAAATGATTTTTCTTCTAACAACTTGTTTAAGCCATTATTTAATTAACTTATAAACATTTATCTGCATTGTAATCTTTATGAAGACCATATTTGTGTGTGTTGTGACGAGCGATAAAGGGAAATTCTTGTAATAAAACTCTTGTTTTGTTTTTGCCAACCGAGTCCTTTGGTGGAGTATACTGTTAAAGCCTTAAATGGGATTTGATTCTGGGAAGTGAGTCCCCAGGACTGGACTTTGCTGTGACTTAATTGAGATTCCAGCGTATGGCGCAATATACTGATTAATTTGTCACTTGTGCGAGTCCTTTCTTGAAGCGAGCCAAGAACTAAAGCTGCTTACATGCATGGCTGTGGCTGTGTTCATCCTTTGGCTGCCATTCTGCCGGACATGAGATAGGGTCCTGCTCATTTTATTCCAGAAAACCCTTTAGTGAAGCTAATTAGACAAAGAGAGAGAGCGAGAGAGAGAGAGACAGAGGGAGATTTAGAGAGAGAGAGAGGCAGTCTCCTCTTGTTAAATATGACAAATATCACACATACGCTCCGTTGGTCGCTGAAAGTAGTTAGCAGTTGATAAATCTTTCTCTCTCAAGTTGTTGACGTCAGCAACTGCGTGTTTTTCCGCTTTCTTCTCGACTGCTTTTTTGTTATTCTGTACTTTTTATTATATATATACATATTTTTTGTTAGCTGTGATTACACAACTTTCTACTGTCGTCAACAAAACGAGCGTATCGTCGCTGAAACTTGATAAATGAATTGACTTTTGCCGTCGGTGACGGCTTCCTGACTTAGGAACAAGCTGTCAGGCGGCAAATGGGTGTGAGGGGGGCAGTTGTGTCAGGAGCAGACTGCAATTACAATTAACTTAATTTCAACGTGTGCGTGTGTGTGTGTCGTATACGTGAAACGTAGCACAACTTTCAGGGCAACCCTCTGGCACTTTGGCTGCGGAGGTCTTCTCATATTCATACTCTCATACATAAATGTGCATATATATAAATGTACTTACACATATTTATGGTTGTAGATGTGACCACTTGGCCAGGCTTAACCCCGAACTAAGTGGCGACCGCATGCCTTGGGTCTGCTGGAGGGTCGCGAGTCTAATTAGCCGCTAACCCACACACACACACAGTCCCTCGCCTCTGGCCCACACAGACACATAGCCAATTAAAATTCCCTTTTCAGTTAACCGCTGATGGTGGCCCGAAAGGTAGTTATGGCTTGTTCATATTAGGGTCCGAGTTTAACAACAATTAATTGGGGCTTTGACGCGCACTTATTTGGCAGACATGAGAGTTAATGAAGAATGATCTAGAAATTACTATGGGTTTTTTAAAACGATTAAAAAAAGGTGTCTAAGAGTATGATTTTAAGGATGATTTAAAAATTTGTTAGCCCAATTTTTGATACCTTCTTGTATTTATTACTTTTATCTTTAGAACTTTGCAAACCTATTTGATTCTTTATTTTTATTTCATTTTTATTATCTTTGTCTTTATGACTCATTACAAGTGGTTTTTAAACAATCAATGAAAAGCTCCTTAATCATTTAAAGAAATAGTTGTACAAATAACGTAACAATCATTAAAAATCTTGAACAAAAGACCATGAGTAATAACTCTAATTAAAACTTGGTTTCTATGAAGTTTGCATATTAAAATGTATTATTTTTGCCCTCATTAAGTCTTAATTAGAATGCAAATAAAATAAAAATTATGCTGTTTTTAATTCTCCTTTTTTTAATTGCAGGCTCAGCGGGAAATTCTTGTTTTTTAGTGCATTTGCCGGCTGTTTAAATTATGGTAAGTTTTGCTTTTCTATATTTTATTGATTGCCACACGGTAATTGAGTGAAATAATTCAGTGTTATTTTTTTTGTACACTCACTCACCCACTCATACTCGACTCTTCATTAATTCCGTTTTGGCCAATTGACGTATGTCAATTAGTTGGCCTGCTGTGGCGATGATGAAACAAGACCCCATTTGTTGTCCGGGATTTTTTGCAACTTGATTGCTCGATTGTGATGAGGCTAACACAGGGTTAGAGCTGGAGACGAAGCCACCTCGTTGCATGTCATGATCGGGTGATTTGACAGTTTCTCGTTGCCACAATTAGCAGGGACTCAGTGGTTTAAAGTATCTGCGTATTGTGACTTTCATCAATCTTCGTTCGGCATTGACTGACTACTGGCTGCTGCTGCTGCTCCTGCTGCTGTTCTACGTTCGCTTAAATGGCGTTAAATGTAAATGCACAAAAGACAAATTTCGGCATTTCACAATGTGCTCGGAAGGCGATTAATTTTGGGCCGGGAGGCATGCCACTTGCCACTTGCCGCAGAACAGAAACCAGCAGTCAGTGTCAGCCGGGCGGCGGCAAATGTGTCTTGTAGATGTCCGCCCCACTGGAACCATTCCTTCTCTCACCTTTCACCCCCGGGTGGTACTTCCTCTCCTCGTCCTTCTACTCGTCCTTTGACTTGGCCTTGTAGCAACGCTTATGTGGGCGTGGGCAAGCAATTTATCTTTCACTTTTTCCAACGCTGCGGCTTGTGGCTTCTCTCTTTGGCTTCACTTTTTCCATGCATAGAGAAAAAAATAATATGTTAATATCAGGTGAAGCTTAATTTGTTTTGTTATTCTTACATTTAAATTTAGACTTCTTTTTAAGATTTTAATAAATAGTATTCTCTACTCATAAAGAAGATATTATGTTACCATGGATATACCTAACAATATTTCATAAATAAGCTTACAGAAAATACCCATCATCTTTTCGTATTTGCACATGTTTTTCTCTCAGTGTACCTCTCCAAGTTGAGCTCGGCAATTATGCGTAATTCGCATTTTTTCGTTGCATACTTCGGTGCGTTGCGAGGGAGGAGCTTGGAGGAGAGAAAACCTAGCTGGGACGGTGGCTAGGCGATGGCATCCCAAAAATTAATATACCCACATACCTTCAATGCCTGAGTGGCATGTGCAGCTTGAGCCAGCTGCGGCTTCTGTTTCTGCTGCCAGCGTAATTAAGTTCGAATTAATGGAAAATTCCTGCAGGTCGGTGCCCGAAACTTCGCGATACAGTGTGGCTAAGATGGAGTGAAATATGCAAATATTTTGAACTTTACATATGGCTTCAAGAGCTGATTTGGCATGAGATTTTTGGAAAATTAAATTAATTTAGTGAGATTTTTCAATCACCAAAAGTATGCCGAAAATTACCATAAAATAAGTCTTACTTTCTTGTCTCTGGGCAGTTTTCAAAAATGGGAACTAAAGGGTTATTTAATTTCGGTATAATCATTTTGTGTTATATTTTCTCATTCTAAAGAATATTAAAGCTTAGAATTAAAATTTGACTTGTCCTTCTTTTAATTGTTTGTTGTTGTTTCTTGACACACTAATATTCGAAAAACTATAAAGGAAAAGACAACTTCAATGAAATATTAGCATTTTATACTAATTTTCTGTCTCTGAAAATATTACTCGAATAAATATTGTGATTTTTATTTAATGTTTAATAATTTAAAAACTTTCCTAGAAACTTTCCAATTAATTCTAGCCTCTGGGCACTTTAAGCAGATTTGTAATCTGTTATCTTATTCTAAAGATAGAGTTTACTTTGGTAATGCACTTTTTGTGTAATTTTAAATAATCTAAAATCGTATTTAATTCCAGCTCCTAAGCTCTCTTTATATAATTAGGACTTTATAAAGAGTTTAAATGTATATCAAAATTTTTATTTTTTAATTTTCTAAACAAATAAACATGTAAATTTTCGACAATTTTTGCTATGCAATCCATCTAAATTACTGAAAATTGTATTTTTCACTCTATTATTTACCAATTTGCAAGCCGTGGGGAATATTCATATATTTTTGAGCTCACTGGCAATGGCACCTGACCAGGCTCATAGTGGAAAATAACTTAATTGACTGGATGGACGCTTGGTCGGAAAATTTTTAGTCGGAGGAGGCATCGTTTTCCCCGAGAGACTTTTCAACTCCCCTTCCCGATTTTCTCGGAGTTTTTCCTCCCCTTCTCCACACACACTTTTCATTTTCATTTATCTGTTTGCCCAACGCAGAGTTTGCAAATTGAAATTGGTTTCTGTTGCATCGCAATGCAAATTTTCTGTTGCATGCTTTCCTCTGAGTGCGAATCAAACAATTTGCCGATTAATTGGCCTTAAATTGGCCATGTATAACATATATATTATATACATATATATTTTGGTGGATAATTTAAGGGATTAGCCCCCATTCATTTATTATACCTGGGCAGGACCCGCGAGATATTGCCGAAATAATGATGAGTGATGAGAAAAGCTCCATCAAAACGTAGCGACAGCGACACTAAAAGCAACTTAATATGGTTATGAAGCCTCAATTTTGGAGCTAATAATTCCATTATATTCACGCTTCAATTGGGTAGCTTTGATAACTAGGTTGCCTTGGTTATCCGCCACTCGAAGGACGCACAAAGGAGTACTTATCGGTTGGCCAGATTAAATTCCAAAGGGTGGTCCCCGAACAATGCCGAATTCTAATCAGAATGCAGAAACCCCTCACAATTCCCTTCCGGCCAATTGCCATAAATCCAATAAAGCCGTAAATGCAAATGCAGGTGCAGTTGGCACACCATTCGGATGGAATTCGTTGAGGTAGCAACTGTTTTTACACTGGCAACACGCTGAATAAATACGTATATTAGTTGCAAGCCCAACAAAAATATTGGAAAAGTATAAAGTTTTGAACTCTGAAAAGGGAAACAAAATTAGTTTTGGGAAAAGGTTTCTAAAGTCCTTGATTTAAAGCACCTTTGCTTTACTTGTCAGTTGACTTAATGAGGCTTTCAAAATAGGAATCATCTCTCCAATTAAATCACTTCCAAAGATTAATTACTTTTAATTGAACAAGTGTTTTGCTCAAATACTAAATAATTTATTTTCCTTTTATTACAGGCCTTTGTCAACATGTCGCTGCCGTTGCCAGCCACGGTTAAGCTGAGCACATCTCTCGCCAAGAAGCCGCTGATCGAGTGCAATCCGGGCCAGAATGCGGCCACCATTGGCGATGCCAGCATCGACGGGATTGCAGCCGACTGAAGTGCATTCGCATTCGCATTCGCATTCGCAGCCGGTGCACGTGCCTGCCACGCCCTCAAATCCACAGGAGATCAATCCGGATCGAAGTACTCATAGTCACGCCAAACTGCCGCCACTGGAACTGCTGGTGGAGAACAAGATCAGCTATAGCAGTTGCTATCAACAGCACACGCAGGATCTCAAGAGCCACAACCACAACCACAACCAGAGCCGTTCCAAGCGAAACTCCTTGAGTAGTCCCTCGTCCAGCGAGGATTGTGTGAGCGCGGCCAGGGCTAGTGTCTTTGATGACGCCGCCGAGAGCTTTGTGATCAACTTTCCCTCGGAATCGACGACCGCACAGCATCTGCTGCCACTCTCGGAGACGGTGCCGCTGCTCACGCACATTGAGGCCACGGTGGTGGATAAGCAGCGATCCATAAGGCTGAATAAGAATAGTGCCTCGCTTATCTTTACCAAGAAGGAGTTGTCTCAGGGAAGCCATCATCAGCACCAGCAGCAGCAGCACCACCACCAGCACCAGCAGAGGCGGCAGCACCACAGCAGTCTCTACGGAGTGGGCAGGAAGCCCACCAAGCATCTGCCTCCCACTCGAGGTCAGCACCAGCGACGCAGTCTACCGCTTAGCTACAACAACAACAATCTGGTGACCACAACTCCAGCAACACCAGCAGGAGGAGGAGTCGGAGTCGGAGTCGGAGTAGGAGTAGGAGTAGGAGCTGCAAAGCTTGTGCCGCTCAAGCAGCACCACGGACCCGGTCAGACGGCACCACCCACGGCTAACGTTGTCGGTGGAGGAGCGGGAGCTGCGGCTCCGTCCGCCCGCAAACAGCTCTCCTACTCCTGGTACGCGCCCGTCTACAGTGCACTCGAGGAGGAGCTGGAGCAGGACTCGCGGGTAAGTCGCTAAACTTACCAGATAATTACATTATTCTTAAGGGTTGCCGATATCCTTAATAATAATTACAACAACTTTGTCAAAATGAATTTTTTTTAAAAACCCTCCAATTATACATTATTTTCTATGCTTATAGGACTCCTCGCCAATTCACAATCTGGCCAACACAAAGCAGCACCAGCGCTCCGCCAGCCAGAAGGCCACCAGTGCCGCCCCCACCACCCTGCATGCCACGCCCCGCCACGCCCACGTCCACGATTCCGGCGACGCTGAGACGGTTGCGCTGCTGGACACGCAGACGCGGAGCAAGGTCATCATTTCCTCGGCGAATGGCGACACAGGCGGAGCAGGAGGAGGAGGCGGCGGAGGTGGCTCTGGAGGAACAGGAGGAGCGTTGGGAGTCAATGGCGGACCTGGCCACGATCTGGAGAGCTCACTGGGACTGTCGGGTGGCGGGCAGTTGCCCCGAAGACGTCGCATCGAGAACTTTCTCAAGTCCCTGGTGGGACTCAAGGCGAGTAGCAGTCGAGCAGCAGCTGGAGGAGGAGGAGGAGGAGGCGGAGGCGGAGCCGGAGGAGGCACCGGAGTTGGCGGGATACCCGATCGGGAGAGGCCTGCCTCGCCGGAAATACGGATCACACGGACTCCCTCCGAACAGGATGTGGTGCTTCGGGATCCCTCTGGCCGCCAGCTAGCCAATGGCCATGGGCGCGGCAGCCTGAGCATCAGTGGGTCAAGCAGCTCCCTAAATGTCGTCCAGCAGAAGATTTGGCACATAATGCGACGCGAGGGCAGCGCCAGCAGCCTGCACCATGAGAAGTCTCAGTCCATTGTCCAGTACACGGGACTGCGCAAGTGCGAGACGGTCCTGGCCCTCACCCGTCAATCCCAATCCCAATCCCAATCGCAGAACCAAGGCCATGGCCTCGGCCTGAGCCAGAGCCGTAGTCAGGGTCACTCGCTGGCCGTCCATGGCAGCGGCATCTTCAGCTCGAGCGGCGTGGAGCAGATCCGACCCCTGAATCGCCTCCGAAACAGTGTGAGCAGCATGAATGGCGTGGGGACCTGTTCGCGCTGCTCCAGCATCCTATCGCTGGCTGCCTCCGGTTCACGCTACTCCCTGTCCAATGGCTTTGTGCCCAGGCCGGACTCGGCACTGAATCACCGGGAAGTGGAGGAGCTGCTGCAGCAGCAGCGCCGCAGTCAGGAGCCGCACATCAACGTGAATGCCCAGATCAGGCTCAGCGGTGGAGCAACGGCCGGTTCGACCAGTCCCAGTCCGCCGTCCAATGTCACAACGGCCACGCTCCACTCCAGCTGCGCCGCCAACCTGAACAGTGAGGAGCATCAGCATCAGCACCAGCACCAGCACCAGCAGGGAACATCGACGCCCGCAACTCCCACGCCAACTGGAGCAGCACCTGGCGGTGAACTGGCACCCTTTGGCACAGATCATGCCTACCCGCTGACCGTGACTTCGCTCCTCTCCATGGCCAGTGCCAATCAGGCAGCTCAGGCCTGTTGTGTGCGGGATGGAATTGCGCTGAAACGTCGCGAGATGCTCGCCTCTGCGGATGTAACGCCCTCGGTGGGGACTCCGGCCACGCCCACCAATGTGAACTTCCACCCCTTTACCTGCAAGCTGTGCCTGATCGATGTGGAGGAAGTGGGCGAGGCCATGGCGCTGCATCAGTGTGGATGTCAGTTCTGCATCGAGGTGAGTTCTGAAGATTACATTTTATGATAAATATAGTGGGAGAAATATAATAAGATGAGTAACGCTTTATGCATTGAAAAGTCTTAGCTTAAAGAACAAATTGTCTTGGCAGTAGAGCTGTAGGATATTTAACTTAAAAACGGTATATTACAATCAATTAAGTAACTAAGAAAGTTTGCACCCCTACAATTCCCAAGCTAAAATATACTTTCAGAGAACAAATGATTAATGATCACCTTGGCCATTTCATGTTTCAATTTAAACATGTGACATGTGAAATGTATCTGCCATAAAATTAATTAATTAATAATCAGTAATCCACAGCAGTTTTAATCAATGTCAACCTCAATTAAATATATTCATATAAAGCGAAGGCAAATGAAAGGTTTCATTTATTATATAACATATTCTCGTAAATGACACATTTTTTGTAGCTCTGTTTATTTGCTGAATAAACACCTTGAGGCGAACATCTGTTGAAATTTGAGTAGTATTATCTAATATATATTGCTTTTTCTTCTTTAAAAGCACTTAAACAAGCTAAAGATAAATACTGTGTATTTAAACAAATGGAGTTCGGCTGGACAAACAGAGGATTTAGCTGCCTGTGAAAAATGTATAAACCAGTCATGTTCGCTTAATTTCTTTTTGCTAAACAGAAGTTCTTTTTGCCAAGAAAAGTTTCGGTGTTGAAAATAATGCTTGCATGGAGTTTTTCTGACGCCGGAAGAAGTGTTTATCAAACTGAAGCTAAGCATTATGTATTATAAATCCAACATGTATCAGGGGAAGTGGATGTCTAAGCAATATAAAGCCGATAAGAGATACACTTTTGTACCCAGTCATGCCACCGAATCGTATGAAATGAATATGTGAATAGATTTTTATGCGATAATAATTTCCATTCGACTTTGCGGCTTAAGATAAAAATGTGATTTTATTTTTCCACCACCAGTAGCATCGCACACCCATAAAAATGAGTTGGGTAAATTCCTTTAAGCCGCAAAAAGATTTTCCTGCGGTTTTCCCCCTGCTCATCCTCTTATTGATTGTAGCAACCGCACCTAGCTGCATATGTTAGCTTTCTTATTAGGATACTTTCTGCCATTTTTCCCTTTCCAGGTGCACGAGTGGCGGAAAATTTTCCACGGAAAATTGAAAAATGACGCCCAGCCAGCAGACGCAATAACTTGCGAGTGTAAGGAGCGAGTTTCTGGCTGCTTTGAAGCTTAACCCAAAACTGAATGCTGGGCATAAATAAGCAGAAAAGCCGAATGTATTTTCTCGTATTTTCTGATATTTGATAACTTTTGCTTTGTACACATACGCATGTATGTACTGCGGTGGCCTTTGCTTTAATTCTAGCATAAATTTTGGTTATTTTTGAGGGCTGGGAAATATGAAACATACAGCCCGCAGCTTCAAATTTGGCTTACTAAACTGATTCGGTTCGGTAAACACATTTAATCCTATGTGTAGCAAATACATTTTACCATTTCCATTTTTGGATTAAAGCTCTTTTTAGTTACTAAAGTTACACTCTTACATGTCAGAGTTTTCATTTTAATTGCTTTATTTGAATTTAAAGCAAACAACTTGTAATTCAACCTCTTACCGTATTTACCTTTAAACAATCAACATTTGCAGCACTTTAAGGCTTATGATTTTGAATATTTCCAAGAGCAATGTTTTCCTTGATTTTTCCTTGGCATTTTCTCATAATTTGAAACATTTTCTGGGCATTCGACTAACGATGTTTTTTCTGCAGCAGCTAAAAGAAAATATTAAGCAACATTTGCAAGGCTAATCCTCATCATCGTCTGCATCTGCATCTGCATCAGCATCATTTATTTGCTCAATTTGCATAGCAATTTGCTCTCGAAAGGAGAGGCAGAGCCTGCAAAGGATAAGGCGAAGGCGGAAGGATGTCGTCAGCAAGGGGTTAATGCTGCTAGGTGACTCATCTGAGATGATGCTCGTCGGGATGCTGGCTCAGCGTTTCCCTGCATTTTCTTCGATGCAACTAAGTAATTTCAGCAAAATGCGCTGCGTTTCCTGGGCGTTGCTAGTCCTGCCAGTCCTGTCAGTCCCTTTTCGTCCTCACAAAAAGCCGAGTCCCCAGGCCCCGGGACTCTAGCCGCCTTTTACTTTGCTCTCGTTTTTCCATAAACAAATTGCATTTGTCTCGAAAGGGGCAAGGAAATGGGGGGTAAATGCGAGAAAGGCTTTGCACAAATTGCCATGCGAAATTGTTAACAATTAAGTAAATGATTTGGCAAGTGCAGCTTTTTTTTTGTATCCAATTTCACGTGTCTAATACATTGGTTTTCCTTTAGCTTAAATAAATTCTGCAAACTTCACAAGTAAACACTTAATGAAAAGCGAGAAGGTGTACAAAGAAAAATGTTTCTATAATTAGGAATAATTAAAGGACGACCTGAAGCAAGACTCTAGGCTGAATTGTTTATTTATTTGTTCTTTTGTGAATTTATTTAATAAACAAAACTCACACAAAATGAATATGCTAAAGAAAATAAACTCGGAAAAATCTAATTAAGCTTCAGAAATTTTCGTTTAACAGAGGTTCCCTATTCGGGTAAAGATCAAAGTAACCTAGGACAAATATACCAAAAATTTGAGGAAAACCTATTAAAAATAATTCAAATATTAAAAGTACAACATATAAAGTTCGATTACCATTTTAAGTTAATAATATTAACTCTGGAAATCTTTGTTTAATTAACATTCTGTAGTTGTTATTGGGTAAATAATGACAGAAACCTATGGAAAATATCAGAAAAGTATAAAAAAAGTATTTAATAAAATTGGGCTGTCAAAAAATAAAGAATAATGTTTTTTTCCCATTTGAATGATTAATGAACGAACTACTTTAAATAATTCTTCTAATAAAAAGCAAAGACTAAAGCTAAATTATTATTTTGTAGTCTAGGAAAAGGCAATTGTATGTACCCTCTAAATTATTTATTTAAAATACTAAACTTTTTTTTTGTAACTATAATTTCATTCCTTATTTTTTATGTTGATTTTTCTCGAGTGCGAAATAAACTTCTAACGGCGAAGGCACTAAATAAGCGAGCTTCATTTCGTGGCGCCTTGTTGCTCAATTTGTGTATGCTTTTTGTGTGTGTGTGCAGGTGAAATTTATTACACGCACACAGGCACACACACCTGACACACACACACACCTGACCGGGAAGGCATGTCCGCTAGAACGGCAGGACGTGAGCAACGGACCCCGCCCCAGGATCAGGGCCCAGTTCATCCTGGGAACTTCCGGCTACGTGTCTAATGGCTACAGATGTACTGCCGTGTCTTCGTGTCCTGGTCCGAGGGCCATTTGTCAACCTGGAGCTTCTCTCCAAGTCTGTATGCTTTTGCGGTTTGTTTTCTTTACATATATATACATTCTTTTTTTTTCTCTATTTTTGTGGCCATTTGCGTTTGGCCGCAAATTATGGCCAAACATTGCTCATACGCAGCGATGGCCGCATTCGCTTAATTGAAAACCAAACGAAACGAAGCGAAATTTCAATGCAAACAACATTTTCATTTGTTTGCTATTCCCTCTCTCTCTCTATCTCTCTTCTTGATGTTCCCATCTCGCTCCATATAACATTTACGATTCACTGAGTTGACAAATTTTCCGCTCTTGGAAAAAAAAACACGCAGCAGCAGTAGCAGGGAAAATACTAGTCAGACATCAGCGAAATAGCCAGAACAGCAGAACACGCTGGAAAGGGGAAAAAAATAAAGATGATATTTTGCTGGGGGAAACGGTATGTGTCACTCTTATGCAGCATCATCATAATTCACATTTAGTCTGGGGCGCGGCACACACCATACATACACACACACCCACACACCCGTCGCAAATGGTTGATAAATGTTATATAAATTGAGCTTGCAGTTCCGCCCGGAGATTAATATCTTTATGGTGTTTTTTGCTGGGAGAGTGGTAGTTGCCATTAATCCTTATCAGCGATTTCGAGGAACTCGAAAGATCGTGTGGGGAAAGCATGCATGAGAGTGGAAATAAATATAAACACTTGAAAAGTTATTAAATAAAGATTAATCTTTAAGCAAGTTGTCTTTAAATGTCCCAGAGCTATAAATATTTTATTATATTTAATGTTTTCTCTACTATAATCCCAAACATTTTCGATGTGGTGTAGCTTTTAGCATTCCTTGTTGACTGTCACAGCGCAGTTCAAATATTTTGCAACTGGCTTGCTAAGAGCAAACTCTTCACGTGGCACTCATAGTTGCTCCATCCATCTGCATGTTACAGCCAGGCAAGAGGACGAGGAGTGGATGCCACTGATGCCGGATGGCGGCTGCTCCTCCTCCTCCGTTGACTGCGCATGAAAAATGGCGACGCTTATTAAACATGCTCGAATGGACAGCAACGCATCCCGAGGAGCAGGAGCAGGAGCAGGAGCAAGAGCACTAAACTGGTTGAAATTTATGCACCAACGATGAGGTTTAAACACTGCCATTTGATGTGCAACCAGGATTGGGATGGGATGGGGACTTAAAGTGGTTTCAAAGGAGTGCTGTGCATTTTTATGGGCACGACCACCACTAACAACGCTCATTAGTGTGTGCGTGTGTGTAATAAATTTAGAATAACAAGAGGGAGAGATTCTCCGACGAAGATGACAGTGGGTCAGGCCAAAGTTGGACAAAGGGGAACTAGACAAAGTCGTCGCCGTCTGGCCTCAATTTCCCAGCCCCTTTCTATGGATCCTAGATCAAGAGTTAAAGTTTTACGAGGCGCCACAAAGTAGGCAACTCCCATAGAAATTTATGAAAGCTAAACTTATGCTATTTATTAAATATCAATTTTGCTTTCGTTAAGGAATTTAGTAAGAAAATTTAAGCCCAGCTTTAAGCCAAAAGTAAAGTAGATTAAAAATTGATATATAATAACCCAACTTTCATAACACTCTCCTGGCTTGCCATAATTTGTACCTTCTTTG